CCCCCCCCCCCCCCCCACCCCCCCCCCCCCCTCCCCCCCCCCCCCCCCCCCTCGCCCATGATATGAGTCATTAAATTAATATTATTTTAAACAAATTAGCATATGATCTATATAATTTGATATTATTGGATCTAGGTTGTGAAATTGTCAGGTCATTTTCATTTTTGTTGGTGGAATTGAAGTTTCCAACATTCTATCTACAGGTAGATTTTATTGGTTTAGTTTAATCGCCAAGCACGACTTTTTTTTTATTATTATTTTTATAATTTTTATTTTGATAACGCTTCTAAGTAATATTTAAAGAAGTAGAATCGAGTTAAACCATACAGACAAAGGCTTGGCGTTACTTGTCCATAAATATAAAGTTTGTTTTAATATCCCTTTTCCTTTTCTTTTACTTATTTAAACTCTAGCAAAATCGAGAAGGAGTTATTTGCTCCGAAAATACTAAGTACATATTTATTACACAACGTAATGAAGAAGTTTAACTTATTTATAATCCACTAGTACTCTTTCATAAACAATTTTTTACCTTTTTGTAACCCACTCATTCGTTTTCATATTACAATTTACTAGTCTTCAGTGTCGCTCGCACTGATGGACATACCTAGAAACCATTTTTTCTTCCATTTTACCTAGAAAATCTCGCTCACATCCAATTTGCAGGTGAAAAACTTGCACATATTCTTAATATTATGTTTTTGATAAACAAACGACATTTGGTATACTAGATACGGCATAATCAAGAATAAGTACAACAAAATTTGTCAATTTTCCAGTCTAATTAAGTTCGATCCAACTAAACATGCCATTATGGTTATTTTGTCGCCAGGAGAAAGACAGCTGCCTGTAGAGACAGAAGAAGCAGAAATCAAAATTGAAAACAAGGAATTAATTAGGTAAGACGTTTATGGGTAATCATTAATTTGAAGAACGGTAAAAACTCGAACAGACCCTGAAAATTTTGGAACATTAGGGGCAATCCTCTCAAACTGTACTACTGGATTTGAACATATGAAATAGGCCAAAGGTTACTGAAAAAGGAATTACTAAAATGATAAAAGCAATTGACAACTAACATTAACTAATAAACATGCATAAAAGATGCAATCAAATTAACCAAAAAACTACTGTTGTTGGAGGAGCTGATATGGATCTGTGAATGCGAGTGCTTCTTTCACTCCCCACCACACAGAAAAATGCCTAATAGCATGAGCAATATTACTCATCTATGTACCTCAGACTTATGATGTAGCCTCATGTTGTTCAGCAAGAACAAAAATCACATAACAGTTCCTTGTGTAACAAATGATCTTTTGCTTAACCGGAATATAAGAACTAAGGATACACTAACACATAGAATGAAAAAATGTTTGTAAAGAACACTACTAATCAACAGGTCAAAAACACCAAGTGAGAACTACTCCAGTATCTACATCTTGAAACCAGTTCATTTAACTTATTACTCAGGTGATCTCTTCCATCTGGAGTAATGCTGCAACTACTTCAATTGTTTGTTTTCTGTCCTCTTCACTCATGCCATGCATTTAAGGAAATTTCGTTCTCAACTCCAGTTATTGAGAGCTAAAAATTGAAAAAATTAGGTGTGCGCACATTGGTTAGCTTTAAATAATTCTAACAAAGTTCAGCTACATTCTAGCTCAGTCGCTGGGATCAAGTGAAAGGAAAGACTATAAAAAGCACGATGATGTCTGAATTGCATGGCCAAAATGATAGAGATTATGGACCTATCTACATTGGTAATTTAGCATAGACTGCGCAGTTCCTAAAGAGGATGCATTTGCCTACCAAGAGAAAGAAAAAGGTAGTAGACATATAAGAATACATAATTACCCAGAAAAGGAATCTTTATAGAAAGTCAGTTCAAAAGGCAAGTACCAGCCTCGTATGCCCTGCAGCACTGGATGCTTGGTACAAAGAATTCCATCTCATTAGATGAATGTGCTCAGTAACTTTTAGTCCCATAATGTCTCAAATCAGGAGATAGGGTCTAATATCACAGTTCAACAATCATTTGTTCTCCCCCTTTGAAGGTTACCACACAGTCCAGAGAATGGCACAACAAGAGTTACAGGCTGCAAGATTATGTTTTCAACATCAAAACTTAGACATTAATATTTATTTCAACTACGATAACAATGTGATCAACTATGAAAGAGCAATCCATAATTCTATGTCAATCCTATGATAATAGATAAGATTTCCCTCTAGTAGAAATGAAAATGGGTGCTCAAACAGAATGGAAAATGATTCGAGAACCATAAATGGTAAAAGTATACGAATCCCATGTCAATTATTAACCAACAAGTGAACAAGGCATGACTAAATAAATTGCAATAAAATTATTTATTCAATCTGTCATGTCATCCTATATGATGAAGCAAGAAAGTCCAAACCAATCAAGTACTAGTTGGTCTTTTTCGGGGCGCTATAGATACGAGCTCACACATAGGTCATATAGAAGGGCTGAGTTCTTTAGATCATAGTCATTAAGTGCAGAAAGACATCAACCCGAAGAAGAAACTGGATCATGTCAGTGATCTAACAGCAACATAACAATTGTTTCATAATCAATATACACCCTCACATACATAATATTTGATAAGGACAATAGTTTTGTTGGTAAAATTCATCACAACTATTTATTGGATTAATTACATCCGATATTAATTCTAATATTGGAAAATATTACCAACAAGTAAAATTTAGGCCTTTTTAGATTCGGATTTTGTAGGTTAGATTAGCCTATTTTTCCCTCCTACCAACATAAAAAAATTAAAGTCAAAAACATATTTAAACATAGTTCATTTTCATGAAAACTAAAGTAAAGATTTAAACAGAACCTTAAATGTTTTTAAAACAAGACCACTGGAAAGGAGAAATAATAAATATACATAACAGGATATTCGCCAGATGTTTGTTTTGAGTTTTGGTGAGTCCAAATAGTAGACTAAACAAATTCATTATACAAAACGTGGTGCAAAATCAGAATAGTGTCTGGCTAAAAACTTGCAAGTGTCCACACTAACACGATGTCATGGTGATGTTAATGATGACGGTGACATCGAGACATCTAGAAGGAAAAGGCACTGAATCTCAACATCCTCCCTCAATTCCAACGATTTCTCCAACTTGTACTATTTACCTTCTGAAGTTCTTTTCTTCCCTTGTCTATCCATTTTCGTGAGTTGTGCCACATTACATGTTGCATGTGCTTTAAACGCTTCTAAGTCATCACCTCTCAGCATTTTGTTCCTTCTCTATCCAAAATCGTGCTACTGCAGAGGTTGTAAGAAAAACATTTTCTCTATCTTTCTTGTCCTAGTTATATCCTTCTCCTTGTCTAAACTAACAACCTCAAGCAAAGTGGCTCTTCCACTCATAACCATACTATTTGCATAGGCAATTTCTGTAATGGTGATCATCACATCTCCAATTCTTCATAGCTCTCCCTTCTTTGGACTTTGGAGTTTATCATTGCTTCATCGCATGTCCCCTCTTCTGCAGTTGTCTTGGGTCTCACAGAAGCACACTTGCCTTTTCTTATTTACAATCCCTTCTTTCTTCTAAAGAAATAGCATTTCCTTCCTTGTTTATGAATTCTTTAACCCATCCATTGCACTGACAAGAACATTGTGCTCTGATTTTATATTGAAAATAACAATCCTTTCTATTCTCATGTCAGAGATAACATTCTGAAATTGATATAAGCTCATTTTCTAGTGGTTGAAGCTTCAAATTAGAAGCAGCAAGCATGCTGACCTCCTCTCTTTGGCATCATCTCATCCTTAATGTGCTTTTCTAGTTCATGCTCTTAAGTCTTAAGAAAGTGCAAACATTTGCATGGCTTTTCCAACCTCTATTCTCCTTTCCTAAAGACCCCAGCTTCAGTTGGTGGTATGTTGATGGCTTTGCGAACATTATCCCATAAATCTACCCCCTGCATGAAATTCTAGTTTCACTAGCTAGGACAGCTCAAAAGTAGCGAATTTTGTCCAGCACAATCCCTTCTATGGTGCCAGCTCCGACACACCTCTGAGTTGACACTCTAATCTCACACCAGACATCTTTCACCTGTCACACAAAACTGATTCCCCAGGTTGCTTTGTTTTTGTAGAGGTAAGAGGTGGCACAAATCAAACCTCCAAGTCTTTGGTAAATTGGAAGCTGGATCAATTACAGCTGCATTGTTTGCTTCTAGCATGCTTCCACAATTTCGGCTGCACATACACCACATTGTGTAAAATATGTGTACAGCAAATTTAACAAGTTAAAAAAGAAAAGTGATCTTATAAAGTTTGTCGGTGAAAAGGAATAAAGGAAATACAGTTAGGATTTCTATCCTCTTATCCGTTAAAGGACTGGATCTTCTTGAAAATTTATATTACCTTGGAATTGTTTGTTGTATCTTATAGGCCCAATACCTGTGTTAGTCTTTTGATCTAAAAGTTTCATGGATTCCACCACATTACCCTGCTTCGAAAGGCCACTGATCAATGTGGAGTAGGTTACATCAGAAGGAGCGACGCCTTCCTTTATCATTCTCTCTATGAGTTTAAGAGCTTCATTGGTATTTCCAACCTTACAGTATCCATCAATCAAAGAATTATAAGTGATGGTGTTGGGAATTAAACCTTTGACAAGAAGTTTATGAAAAAGCCTCACTGCACGATCAAGGTTTCCTGATTTACACAGGCCATTTATAAGAGTATTATATGTAACAATATTTGGAGAAAGACCCTTCTTCAGCATCTCATCTCGTAAGACAAAAGCTTCGTTGACATTACCAGAAATACAAGCACTGTGGATCAAGGCAGAATATGTGAACTCATCTGGTATGAAGCCTTTCTGTGACAACTCACTGATAAATTTTCTTGCATCATCAGTCTTCCCAAATTTGCATAACCCAGCTATAATTACATTATACATAACATTATTGGGGATAATAAATTTTTCGGCACTTTCATCAAGGGAATTTGCAAATTTCTGAATATCTAGCTGCACTTTCTTGAAGTCAAAGAATTTATAAAATTGTTCAAGCCTTGGGAAAACATCTAAATCCACCATTTTCCGCAACAGCATATTTGCACAATCTGCCCTACCGAGCTTGTTTAATCCACTAATAATCGTGCTACATATTATTACGTTGGGAGCAATTCCTTTCCCTGTCATCTCAAAGTAAGCATCAAAAGCTTTCTTCAGTTTTCCTTCTTTGACCCAACCGGTAATAAGGGCTCCATATGTAACAACATTAGGACTTAGTCCCTTAACATGAATCTCACAAAGAACATTTGCAATTTCACTTGATTTTCTTGCCCTAAACAGTCCACTAATAAGCGAGTTATACATTTCAATGGAAGCAGGAATTCCTTCTTTTTCCATGATACACTTTATTTGACGAGACCTTTCAATGTCTCCAGCTTTACAATAGCCATCACTCAAGGTTCTATAGGTTACTTTGTCAGGTGAACAACCGAGCTCCTTCATCTTGTCAAGAACCTGCTCTGACTCAATCATCTTCCCCAACTTACACAATCCATTGAGCAGTGTGTTGAATAAAACTACTTCTGTTGCATGCCCTTTTGCTAGAATATCTTTCCACAACATCAAAGCCTTATCAGAATCACCTTTCTTGAAAAGGCAATCGAGGAGAGTACTAAATCCTATTGCATCAGGAACAAAACCTCTCTTAAGCATTAAACACCAAAGGTGCAAACAGTCATCCAGATCACATTTGTCACGTAAACCTTTCAAGAGAGTGTTATAAGTTACATTTGTTGGATATACACCATCACTAGCCATCTGATCACAAAGCTTGAAAGCATCCTTCATTAAACCTTCTCTACAATAAACATTCAACAATGTATTGAAGCTATAACCATCCGGCTTCAAGTTCAATTCAACCATACTCGTTATAACTCGCTCTGCTTCACATACTTTACCAAGTTTACAATACCCATTTATCAAAGAATTACAAATAAATATATTCATCCCCAACCCTAAACCCAACATCTCATCCCTAAATCTGACTGCATCATCCATTTTTCCAACTCGACAAAACCCATCAATCAACACACCATACACCTTGTGATCCAAAATCAACAGATCAGCCTTCTCTTCCTTCATCCCCCTGAACATTCTCTCCGCTTCTTCCATTTCCCCACGTTTACAATAAACCTTAATCAACAAGGTATACGTGACCAAATTCTTCAGAACAGTTCGTTGACCCATCAATTGCAACACCCTCTGCACTCCCTCCAAATTCCCCTTCTCCGCATACCCATTCATCAAACTATTATAACCCACAACATTCAACTCCAACCCCATTCTTTCCATCCCTTCAACAAAATCTACTGCTTTATCAACCCTATCGTGCTTACAATACGCATCAACCAATATTGTACAAGTGTATACGTCAGGTACAACTCCAACTCTTACAATTTGATCATAAATACAAATGACAGTGTAAAACTCCTTAAGTCTCGCCAAACTACTCAGCAAACTATTACACGATCGCGTGCTTGGCACCTGACCACTCTTGGTCATATTATCAAACACGTATAAAGCATTTTTCACCAGCCCTTTTTCAGCATAAATTTTAAATATCATATCAAAAACCGTTCCGGAGAACTTGAATTCTCTATAAACCCTAGCCAATTCTGTGTATACCAGAAAAATTGGATAACGTTTCCTTTCAGATAGTTCGACGAGGTCATGTAAATACGACCGCACTTCGGGGAACATGCGCGCTTTGGATAAAATGTGGACGAGTTTGATGTATGATTTGAAGTCGGGTCTGAAGTTGTTCGGTTTGGAAGCTAGGTTGAAGAAGTTTAGGGCGGCGGCAGGGTGGAGTTTGAGGTCTTTGAGGACAGAGTCCACTAGGTGGTCAGAGAAAGTGATGGAAAGGCGGGAGAGGGCTTCGAACTGGCCGAGGATTAATAGGCGGCTGATTTGGGCAGCAAGTTTGCGGTTGGAGTCAGTGGTGGAGTGAAGGAAGGCGCGGTGGTGGAGATGACGGCGGGAGAAGAGACGGGACCGGGTTGGATTTAACATTTTGTCACTCCTTCCTATGGCGCCAGTTGTCGTTAACGGTCGGTGAGTCGGTCAGGTGATTTCCTTAGATGGCTGGTGGGCGGGTTAATACACTAAATAGTGATTGAACTTTGTCAAAAGTTCTTAAGAGGTCACCAAATTTCAAAAGTTCCCTAAATAGTCACTGAACTTTGCAATAAGTTCCTAGGAGATCACTGAACTTCGTTAATACCTTAAATAGTCACCAAACTTTCCCAAAACCTCTCAAGAGGTCATCGAACTTTGTAAATTAAGACCTCATACATCAATGGTTCATTGATCAATTAGAATTTTTTTGCAAAGTTGAGTGACTATTTAGGGAAGTTTTGGCAAAGTTCAGTGACTATTTAGGGTATTAACGAAGTTCAATGACCTTCTAGGAACTTATTGCAAAGTTCAGGACTATGTAGGGAACTTTTGAAATTCGGTGACCTCTTGAGAACTTTTGGCAAAGTTCGATGACTATTTAGAATATTAACCCCTGTTGGACAAATTTGTCACTTTAGTTGGGGGTTCATTTAAAAGACACAGTCAAAACAAAAATTTATTTATGGTGCATTTGATTGTAATGGTGGAAAATAGGAGGAAAAAAATGTTTTACAAGGAAAATATTTTCCTAGAAATTATTTTACTGGGATGTGTAATTAATTGTGTTTGATTTGTATAATTTTTCATGAAAAATGTTGAAAGTTTGGTGTCCATTTGGCTTCGTTTTTTATGGAATTTGTCCATTAAAGTGATAATTTTTTCTATCATTGGGTCTAAAATTTGTTCCAATTGTAAAAAAAAANCTAGAATTTGTTCCAATTTAAAAAATAATAATAATAATAATAATAATAAATTATCATACCAAATACCATTCGTTTGGTTTTGTTTTGTATGTAAATTGTCCATTAATAGAAAAAAAAAGTTTACCATTGTTGATAGAAATTATTCCAATTGCTAAAAAAAAAAAGGATGGAAAACCATTTTCTCACCAAAGTGGTGGGAAGACAAATTCCATGAAAACCAAGAAAAAGGGGTAGGGGGGAAAACAATTTCTGAGGAAATTTTGCCTACCAAACAAGGCAAAAAATGGAAAATGAAAAATATTTTCATGGAAAATTATAAATATCAAACGAACCCTTATAGGAAAAAGCTGTTTGATCAACCTCAGTGACATACTGACATGCACTATTTTCAACGGCTTAAATAGCAGCCCTGGTTGGCAATTTCTTTTATTTTTTTAACTACCAATGAAAATGTGCCAAGTGTACATTTGTTTAAATATTTGTCGTTGAACCTCTTTGTATAGCAAAACTCTTATAAAATTTAAGAACTATCTTTTTTAATTAGATAGTCTGAAAATACAAAGAAAAGGAAAATACAATTTATAAATTACTAAAATGTCCTAATAGGTAAAAAGACATAATGCCCTAATTTCCCTTTCAATTTTCATTTAGCCATAATTCAATTTTGGCTTCCCTTCTTCTATAGTCGGGTCGACAACTCTATGCAATTATTCTCTTTTTCTTATCATCGTCTTTTCTCCTTCATGAAACTACAAAATCTACAATTGTCATTCCCTTGAACACTCATTTAGTTTAAGTGAGTAATGAAATCTTACAGCATTCTGGTTGTGCATTTAGAGAAGAGTAGTAAAGTTAAATTTTAATATTTGGGCTACTTTCTTTTTCAATTTTTTTGAATCTTTTTTTCATGTTGTGAATTGTGTTTATTGTATTCATTTATCAATAATGTCCTTGAATTTATTTTATTATTGAATTAGAACTTTGATATGGGTTGATTTCCAATCTTTTCGTATCACCCCCTTATTTTTGAAGTGAAAAATACATGTTTGCCTATTTTATTTGTTGTTCTATTGTGAAACATACATTTTATTTTTTGCTTCCAGAACGATTTACATATCGTTTTCTACAACCCATACTGACATACATCTTGTTATCAATATTGTACGAAGTTTGTTATTTGATGAAATTTTAAATTTTTTATGTTGAATTGCAATTATGAACACCTTGGATATGTTATGGATTCAGTCTGTTATATATTGAATATGATCAGTCAATTGAAGGTGCTTGAAAATAAAAACATGCAAAGAATTACAAAGGAAAAACAACGCATAATCTTGTTTTGAAATTAATTTCTTACGTAGACTTGTATGATAAAGTCAAAGAAGTGTTGAAGGTTGATACAATGTTGTACAAAATGGAGATGTCAGCTCTTGTCCAAATTATATAGCTTTATTATTTTATAATTATTGAAAGCACCAAATGATTGATTACATTTTGTAGTCATTGTGCTATTAATTATGTTGTATTAGAACAACTTCTTTTTTTTTTTATAACAGACCAACAACTTCTATATCGTATTAATTTTTTGAAACAACACAAATGTTATTATAATTGCCATTGATATCGTTCTGATAAGAAAATTGTAATGCTTAATATAACGATATGAAAATCGTTTCTGAAACACAAAAAATATTGAAATCATTTCAGTACAAAAATTATAATTTTCCACATGACATTGAAATCGTTCTTGAGGTATAAAACGATCTAGAAATCGTTTCAATAAGAATGCTTTAAAGATATTTAAATCTTTCCTGAGACACAAAATAATATGCATGTCGTTTCGGTACAAAAATATTTCTATTATATTGATTCACGTAACGACATTGATGTCGTTATTACCAAACAAGACGACATTGAAGTCGTTATGCCAAACATAATGCACACATGGTTATTTGTAATTTATAGGTTGACATCGCTTCACTTCACATAACGACATTAAGTTCGTTTCTACAAATATAACAACATTGACCACGTCATGATATGAAAAATTGTTCCCATACAAATTTACCGGCATTAAAGTCATTTTAGTCCAAAATATAACTATAACGCATTGATATCGTTACCTTTCATACGAAACGACGATGATATCGTTCTGTATCATATCTAAAAAATAATATAACGACATCAATATCATTCCAATAGAAATTTATCATTTTTGAAGTAAGTTCAGTGTGAAATATAATTGAAACTATTTTTATGTCGTTTCTTTGCTTACATAACTATAAAGAAATCATTTTGAATAAAATAGTCGAAATAACACAACGACATTAAAATTGTTCCAATATAATTTTTTTGACATTGAAGTTGTTCCAGTATGAAACATAACAACGACGATATTTATGTCGTTTCTTTTCATAGATAATGACGGTTACATTGTTCTGGCTTAAAATGTCGATTCAACAATTCATGACCACCTGACATACCTAAGAAGACTAAAAAGGTCATCATGTGAGTTCGGTCCCACTCGAAATCAAATTTAAAACAATCAAATACATATCGACACATAAATAATTTTTTAAAAATAAACATTTTGTGTTCTCAGACCAAGCTTATCCATCCACTCCATCACATCCTACTCAGCGAGCAAACAACACATCCATAAATGCACTCACGTGGGATGGATTAGGATACATGGGATGGGGGTGGGTGTTGACGAGGTGGCTTGGTTGGAGTTGGAGAGATGAAATGTTTATTTTTTATTTGGTAATGTGTTTTAATTGATTTAAGTGTAATTTATTTATGCTTTTGAAAAGTTTTATAGTTTATAGACTTCATTATATAATTTTTCTTACTTTTTGAGTTTTTGTTATTTTACTCCTTTTTATTTAAATGGAAGGAAAAATCCATCATTTAACTGTTAAAATGGAGGGAATTACTAGTTTTATTCTTGGACTAATAGAAGAAAACATTTCTAAAAACGTTTCCATTTACGATATGCTCCTTATCTATTAGAAATCGCAGAAGATCTCTATGTTTGAAACATTTTGTGATAAAAACCCTCTACCCGTCAAGATTCGTCAGATTTTCGTTACAAACAGTAAAAGATGTCAAAATTAAAAAGAAATAATTGCAATTTCAATATCCAAACTTTTATTTTTTATAAATTAAATTCACATTTTTATACGTGCCACCTATCGTCTCAAATCTTTAAAACTTTATTTTTCACCCCACTTCAATTTCTTCCCAAAAAAAAACATAACAATCAAAAAATAAACAACAAAGATGAAAGCATCATCTTTTCTTTTTTTTGAAATTATTTGCGCCATTTTCCACAACAAAAAAATGTAAGAAAAAAACAAGAAAAATTGTTTGAAATCTGTAAATATAATTATTTTTTTTCAGTCCCTTGTGCAGGACGAATATTTTGTTGATTTTTTTCAGAGAGGTGGTGGGTGAATGGAATTATGGAAATGAATGGTGTTCGAGCGGAGAAATTGGATTTTTATATCCTGGATTATAGTAACTGTAAAAATGGGATTGGATGGAATGAACAATTTATATTGGGCACAAACAAGAGTGATTGATGACAATATTCACCACTTTCTTACACACTAAGGTGTTTTAATCAAATCCTTTATTTAGTTTGAAGGTGAATTTTTTTTTTTTTAAATGTTTGGGGAAGAAGATGAAGTGGAGTGGGGTATGGTAGAAAATAAAGTTTTAAAAATTTGGAATTATAAGTGGCACGTATAAAAAATTTGGATTTAATTTGTAAAAAAATAAAATTTTGGGTACTGAAATTATAATTATTCCTTTTTAATTTTGACATTATGTACTGTTTCTAATGGAGAATCTGATGGATCTTGACGGTAGGGAGGTTTTTCACACAAAATGTTTCAAATATGAGGGTTTTCTATGATTTCTAATAGATATGGGGTATATCGTAAATGAAAACGTTTCTAAGGAAGTTTTCTGCTATTAATCATTTTATTCCTAATTGAAACGTTGTGAAGTATTATGCTAAAAAAATTGGTGATGGATTTATTACATCTCACAAAGATTGGGATAAAAATAGCAAATTTCCCATAAAATGATCATAAAAACGTATGATATCACAAATAATTACAATCAACAATCATTTTAGAATTACTCTCTGGTCCATAAATAATAAACAATGACAAAACAAGTCTACACATAAAATAATAAATTAAAATCAACACGAAGGTTTACTTGCTTCTTCTTGGCGCTGGCTTTTCTTTTGCTTCTTGTATTTGTAAAAGATGTACTGAAGGATTATCTATGTCAAAAATTATATGTTAAGGGCAAAACAACTTGAGAGACAACTTTGGAACAAAAAATTATTAAGTAAAATAAATAGAAAAGTAGGATACAAAAAGATCAAGCAGCACACAGCCAATAGCATCCAGCAGCCAAGGCATGTTGGCTTTTATCATCTTCCATTCAGTGCTTCTCACTAAAATACTGCATTTATTCACTCGAATTTGTTAAAGAACATATGGGACTGTGTGTAAATATGGTGTATTGAGAGAGTTGAACGAATAATCAACTGTTCAACATGTAAAAGTTGTCAAGTGATAAAATTCTACATCGAATACAGATGAAAAATATAGACCAATTTATAACAGTTTGAATCACTCATCTTAATAAAGTTGACTTTTTAAGATTGAACTCTAAATCTTAATATGATATCAGAGCTCATTAAATTTCAATGAGCAATTTAATCCGTTTAAGATTCAAAAATGATCACACGAATTTCACGATTAGTCTGCTCAAATGAGCCAACATCTTGCAGAGGCATGTTGAGGGATAAAATCCAATATCGAATAAAGATGAAAAATATAGACCAATTTATAAGGGTTTGAGCTACTTTTTTTAAAAATGTTGATCTTTTAAGATGAAACTCGAAATCTTTACAAAAGTAAAACAAATAATTTAGATGTGCCAAAGAAAGCTTCAAACTATGCTCAAATGTTCCAACACTTAATTTAATACGTAGTAAGTGAGAAATAGAGAGGAATTTAGAACCTTCCAACATATGTTGCATTGGCAATGAGTGCGAAAACGAACATCAGAGGGTTCAAGCCCTGTGAAGTAAAGCAAAAGCAACGAATAGTGTTGGTTCGTTATGCAGTATGGAAATGAAACACGACTGGACATTCTTTTTATTAAAAATAAAAGAGAATAAATACCTCTACACTCCCTCTTTTGATCTGGTCATTCATGGCAACAATAGTACATTAGAACCTATTCACAAAATCAAAACAAATGCATGATTTTCAACCAATGTGGTCCATAGAAAAACTCACACTCAACCAAATTTGTGGGATTCGTCCACCCATATATATTGCAGCCATCAACCAACCCAACCATTGTCCATATGCATTTTCTNGCAAGAACTCATCTCGGGCAAGAACCCCTAAATAACTCATTTCGTGGATCAAGAAATTCAACACTGGAGTGCAGCGCAGGGCTTCCTCTTTGAGTGGAAGCCCCAGCGGAACGGTCAACTAAGAGTTAACAATTAGAATTGACTAAAGAAGCTAAAGGGGAACAGTCTTAAGAGTAAAGCAAATGATCGTGAACGAGTTGGTCCACTTGCTAATCAGCGTGATCAAGTAGGGCGATTGTTCGAGTAGGGCCTATCGGCTTGACCTCTTTTGGCGGTACATCATCACTATTTGTCGTCTGATTCACGCAATTGACTCCAAATATATATTACTCACTCCAAATTTATCAAAGTCAAAGTATAAAGTTAGATTAAATCTGTTAAATTAAGACAGAAAACAAACTTTTTTACTTATGCATAGTAATTATACTTACGGGACGAGGAATATTACGATGCTGACTAACAATGACAGGCTTGTTGGAGACAGGAAGAAATGATTCATCTTCAGATGAGGAATCTGAATCGTGTTCCAAAGCAGGAGGTCCGCTCCTCGCCTTTATATAACACTGATTCATTGGTGAACTATCACTTCCAGCCAAAGATCTTGCTGACCTGCACAAATAATCTTGCTAACCATGCTGGTTTATCTTAATTGTACTTGCATATAGATGCATATATTTCTTACATATAGTAGAAGTTCCTTCTATGTGGTACCTCAACAGGTACATTTGATGCTGTTATTCTTCCTTCTTGGAACTTGGATTTTGGAGCATCGATCTCTTCTTTATCCTTAAAAAGAAACCAAGAATCATGGAAATTTTCGGGTCATTTGACTAACAAAATTTGTATAATTAGATGGATAATTATATATAAATCTTGAAAAGATTCGTACAGCTTTTGGTTCAGTTTTACGTCGCCTTCTCAAGCACGGAAGAAAATGGTTGTAGTAAATGCATTGGAGTGCCAATATGATTGTGACCGTCGTATAGAGCTGCAACATTACACAGATAATGAACATTTGATGCATATGCAATGTCATTTGTAAATCAATTTGGGTTAGACTTACCCATGCAGTGTACAACTGGGTGGGCAACTGCATCAAATCAACAGAATCTATTAGAAACGTAAGCTTAACGTATGTACAAATTGTTACAACCCATTTCCTATTAGTCAAAATGTTATTCAAAGTCAAAAGTTCAACTTTGACTTTGAATAAGAAATCTTGACTTTTTGACTAATTAGAAATGAGTTGTAACACAAATGTTCTAGAGGCAATATACATTTGTTTCAAACTCATCATTGAACTTTACAAAATATTTTATTCAACCACTTAATCCCGCATCGACTAATTACAAAAATATGGACCAACATATAAGGGTTTGAGATACTCCTTTCAATAAGGTTGATCTTTTGAGATGAAAGTCTTAACATGGTATCAGAACTCATTAAACTTAAATGAATAATTTGATCAGATTAAGACTCCATGTCTATTCGATATAGGATTTCTCTGCAATAATCTCTCACTCAAATCGAATATCATATCAATATAGCCCAATATGATTATCACATCCCCTCAAATGAATATGACAAAACACTCCATCAAGGAATGCATAATCTCCATGACGTTTGGCCAAGTTACGGTGGAGGCTTCACCAACTTGAGTGTCACCGTCAAAAAATTTCCCACATGAACAATTAACAAGGTTCAAACTTTCGCTCGAATTTTCCACACACATCTAATGATTCATCATGGGCATCCTTCTGACTAAAAGGTTGTTTGAGAAATGTTTTTAAACCGTTTAAATTATAAAAATATAAATAAACGATTGAAATGTATGGATAAAAAGTAATTGAACGTTTATAAATTGCTTATAAACATTATCGAGACATACATTAAGGGTGCGTTTGATTGTGAATATGAAATTTATATGAAAAGAAAATAAATTCTGGGCAACTTGCCTAGAAATTATTTGTATAGGAATTATTAATTAAATGTGTTTGATAGATTTAGTTTTTAACCTAGAAAATATTATACTTATCATTTTTTATTGTTGGATAGATGAGATAGATGGGACAGATGAGAGAGAAAAAAAAATAGAGTGAATTATATGAAAAATAAAAATAACATCTCCCTAAATAAAATATTTTTCTCGTTTTCAAGGAAAACATGGTCACGTGACCAAAAGTAGAAAAATATTTTTCGTGGAAAAAATTGCCAATCAAACAACACAAATGTAGAAAATTAGGTAAAAAATAACATTTTTCATGAAAAATATTGACAATTAAACATACTCTAAGAGTACATACTCATAGGGTTTGTTGGGATTTGAAGTTCAAGTCATATCTCAAAAGGTTAATGTAATATATAATGTACACTCCTTGGTGTATATTCATTTTGACACTCCCCCCACATGGGAGTGGGGCTCGCGCGGTCCCACCCCATGTGAAGGGAGTGTCAAACTTGATGTACACAAAAGTGTACATCAAGTATTGTCCTATATATGTTAAGTAATCAATTTCTTAGCCCATGTTTGGTACCGATTAAAATCTAAATTTTGATCCAAGTCAAAATTAACAATTCATTTCAACCACATATTTCATCAATTTTTATCAAAATCTACTAAAAAAAATCTAATTTTAATCCTCACCAAACATGGGCTTACTGACGTGGAACTTTTCTTTGCTTATCTCTTAGAGATGAAAAGTTTTTCCCTTGAGCAATACATTCACAAGAACCCAAAATATAATTTTATTTATTTATTTTTCTCTCTCCAGTAGCCCCGGCTCTCAAATCTCTATGCTTCTCATAAAAATTCTTTTACACAATATTTTCAATGCTTCTATCTTCTAAGAAAATGATTTTTTTTTTTTTTATCTCATTTTAAAATGTAAATACATACCTCAAACTTAATTGAATTCTAAAAAAATTTGTCCACGGTTAAATATTTACTCTTTTTATATAAAATCACCATAAATCTGGTCTTCCCTCTCTCTTTTTATGCTTAATTTATTCTTTCTTGTATCCATCGATCTTTTTTTTTTTGTTATAAATAGAAAATATTAGAATTTATTGCACACATTTTTATTATAGGTAAAACTAACAAAGACTTGCCTACTTAATTTCATATCAATGTCTTATAGGGTAGCTAGCTTGTATATCAAACACTATATTTAATGGTAAATATTCAAATCTGCAATATAAACATATGTTTGGCCCCTCATTAAATTTTAATTTATTTTTCTCTCTCCTCTTATGAATCACACATTCTCTCAGTAAAATAATATTATACATAAACCCAAAAATTCTGCTTACTTTGAATAATGATATTCATCCTCACTGAATTTAAGCACCAGGTTAGTTGGCAATTACATGACATTAAATGATAGACACGAACGAGTCTATCATTTAATATCATGTAATTGCCACTTAAATTGGTGTTCAACCCCGATGGGGAAGAATAACATTATGTCCTTATTTTTTATCTACACATTATTCAAAAAATACTATTTCAAAATCAATTTTTTCAAATAATGGAGCTCACACAACTCAAGGGCTTAACAACATAACACTCCCATTTTCACCCAAAAAATAGTGAAGAAGAAAAAAACAGAGAGAGAGAGAGAGGGAGAGAGAGAGAGAGAGAGAGAGTTTTTACAGTAGCAGGTTCGAGAATGCAGCCTACAAGATTGAACACATCACTGCATGAGATAAAAACCAAGTTATAATTAGTTTGTCTCTATGGGTCATAATATCAAGTCTGTTCAGTTACAAAGGCATAAACAATTAAGGTTGTCTGTCAAAAACTAATGGCAATGCATGTTTATGAACCAATAAACTACAGTACCGCAAACAAAAATAAACGTACCCAACAATCCAAGTGCAAAGAAATGCGAAAGAGACACCATCGGCAGATTTGTTATTGAAGTTGGTAATAATCTGTGGGATTTCTGCAATTCCCCAACAAATTAAACTTGCAATTCCGAAACCAAACGATATTTCATCGTCGACGTTGCACAGACAATCCTTGAAGTACTTTTCGATCCATCTGATACAAGGTTTTCCCCCTTTCGGACAGTAAGAAAGTTTTAGTNGATCCATCTGATACAAGGTTTTCCCCCTTTCGGACAGTAAGAAAGTTTTAGTGCCTTCATTTTTCTCTCTTGCAACTGGATTTTGTTAAAATTAATATTACTTTGCAAGAGTTCACCAAAAAAAGTTGGCACAAACTTCTATAAGTATATTCTCATTTGGATGCGGAGAATTGTGAAGGAACATGACTATTTTATAATGTGTGTTGTGTGTATGTATGGGGAGAGAGAGAGAGACTTCAACCTAATAATCTGGTTCAGTACATATGCACGGGATGAAGTAAATCTGTCCAATAGAAAGAGTGTAAAAAATAAAAATAAATTGAAGCACAGCATATTCTTGTGCATCTTGTTTCTATTCTTTTTCACATCGTGCAGTACAATAATAGAATTTGTGATTTTTTGCAAGGTACAAGGTTAAATCAATTTCAAAAATTGGCACTGACTAAACCACGTAGCACAAGAAATAAAGTAAATAATTAATTTTAAATTTATCAAGATTAAGCTTCAAATCCAATTAAAATTGAAAATATAATCGTTATTGGGTCCCACTCGTCAAATAAAAGTCAACAATAACAGTTAGTTTTTCAATTTTAATTCGATTTTAATCTCTACCGAACACGCTCTTAATTCTAATATTCTGTTCCAAGAAATAAAGTAAATAATTAATTTTAAATTTATCAAGATTAAGCTTGAAATCCAATTAAAATTGAAAATATAGCCGTTATTGAGTCTCACTCGTCTAATAAAAGTCAACAATAACGGCTAATTTTTCAATTTTAATCCGATTTGTTTAGACGGTATATCCTGAAATAATTCGGAGATTAATCTGTCGATAAAATTAATTGACACGGTCGCGACAACTTTGTACAAGTTGGCATATTCTTAAGCATTTGGAAATGACTTCATATTGGGAAAAAGGTTATTGGCACCTTACATGAGATTGGTACTCTATTTTCAGTAAGATGATCATTTAAAAATTGAAAATGAAATTTAATCGACACTTGGAACCAACAAACCTTAGCATCAATTATCTTGTGGATGAAAATGTATGAATTTATCTTTTTAATATTGATTTAATTTTTTAAATGCGATGATTAGCATAATTTAAAAGAATTATAAAAAACAGTATTCTAAAGAGACGTGTTCTAACAAATTTAACCCGTATAGCTAAGTTAAAATTTTTTTTTTTTTTGTCTCCAAACAAATTTGTATATTAACTTTAATCTTACTCTTCATGAAAAATTTAATTTTTAAAATTAACTTGCTACTTGAAGTCCAAAAAAAAAGCACCTTATTTCTAATTCAACAATAACAAAAGTTATTCTAAATTTTTTTTACTTATTATAGCCAAACATGAACGTGTGGTTTAATAGCAGCTATCATGTATGATTGAAATTGAGCCTCTGTTTGATTTTGCTAAAAATCAAAATTTTAGACGATTTTAATAAAAATTGATGAATGTGTTGTACAAAAATTGATAAAAAAAAGTTGTGGGTTGTATGAAATTTAGGCTGAAAATTAATTATTGAATTTGACTTAAATTTTTAAATTTTTTTTAAGCTAAAAGAAGCATGGACAAAATGTTTTGAATAGAGATCAAAGAGACATGGAGGAATTCTACAGAAGTAAAAAAAAAATTATCTCAAGCATCCATTGATGTCCACATATGACCACATTGCTTCAACATTTGTATTTCTTACATGACAGCAGTACTCGACCAGCGTTTTAATGAAACTTACACATCGTACCACAGGTTTTTGTCCATATTTTCCATTTGTTATACCTCCCAAAAAACTTGATTAATGTAAATTATTTTCTTAGTTAGAGGACAATTTTCGAGTTACCACGAGTTACTATCACTATAATGTGTCATCGCTTGTCATCGGTTTCTTGTACGCAATTGTGAGTAATCGCCTCTTTTTTTTTCCTTTTTTTTTTTTTGTGGATAAACATCTAACAATTTTTATGAACATCAAACATCATTTTTATTTTTTATAAAATTTTCTTTATAAGTTGAAGTCTAAACAATGACTAGATTCAATGCACCAGCCACCAGATAACAAGAAAAGATACAAACAGACTACGTGCATTAAGTAGAAGATTCATTAATATTGGCCTGTTTCGATGCTCTTCAGAATATGTCTAGGTACAATGTACTGTGAGATCCAATTTTAATTTTATCTGAATGTCTTTGATAGATATTATTAAAAAAATAATGTATTTTAAATAGTGATATGATGAGAAATATATGATTAAAAAGTAAAAAAAAATTATTAATGTGATGAAAAATATTATTTTATTGAATAATGTGCGGTTGAAAATGAATTTTGAAAAAATGTATTTTGAAAGAATGTGTGTCAAACATGAGATTATTTACTAAGATAATTGATATTTACTTTTTTTTTTTTTTTGAGATATATATTTACGATATTTGAAGAGAAATAATTGAAACTCATTCTTGAGCTATCTCAATACACAAACATTTTTTTTAAAAAAAAAATTCTTATATAGCCCGTCCATATTTGATAGAAATTATAATCTAAATTTTTATCATAGTCAAAGTCAACAATCAATTTTAATCACATATTTCATAGACTCCAAGACTTTTAAACCACAAATTTATCAAGTTTTATCAAACGCAAACTAAAAAAAAAAAAAAAATGCTTATATAGCCCGTCCCTATTTGATATAAATTATAATCTAAATTTTTATCATAATCAAAGTCAACAATCAATTTTAATCACATATTTCATGAATTCCAAGACTTTTAAACCACAAATTTATCAAGTTTTATGAAAATCTGCTAGAAATTTAATTTTAATCTTCATCAGGCATACATTGTCCAGGTAAAATGTAACATGAGATCATGGGATTTGGGAAAATGATATCTATGTTTCAACAAAATTGAAAAGTTATTGTATTTAAAGCGAAACAGTAGAAGAATTCAAAAAATAAAAATGAAAAATGAAACACATTTTTTAATTATCTAAATTAATTTATAATTTATAATTTCTATTTTTTTTTATCAAAATATAAAAAAAAATTTGCCAGGCATAAAAATACTAATTTTAATCAGAATATATAACAATTTTGCAAAGCAAAAATATACTAATAATAAGTAGAATTTGTCTAAATATAAAAACTTGGAAATAAATGATCGTGACTTGGGTTAAGTAATGACTTGGCATCAAAAAAATTATGAATTGGGATTTGGAAATTAATGGAAGGAGAGGCAAAATTTTAGCGTCCCTTGCGAATTGTGATTTAAGGCTCTGTTTGATGGGGTATTATTTTCCATGGAAAATGGAAAATAAATTTCAACTTCCACTTTTGCCTTATTTGATACACTTTATTTTCCAAGTGAAAAATTATATCAATAAAACACAATTAATTACAATTTCTAGACAATTCAATTCCCTAAAATTCATTTTCTTTCCATCCATTTTCCACATTTGCAACCAAACGGACCCTAAACATTTCTTTCCTGCATTATGCTAGTCACCAACAAATGATACCTTTTAAAACGAGTTGATGCAATATGCAAATATTTTATCATGTAA